GCGCTTTTAAAGGCAATCCCGTGCTACGAGAGGGCTGTTGAAGGCAATCCTGTGCTAGGAGAGGACTTTTAAAGGCAATCCTGTGCTACGAGGAGGCCTTTGAAGGCAATTCTGTGCTACGAGAGGGCTGCTAAGGCAATCCTGCGCTACAGAGTCCACATGGCTGTCATCCCTCGAGATACCTTCATTTTGTTAGCATAGTGTTTTTTCCCAGGTGAGGGTTGTTAGCTTTTATGCTAGCTGACTTCTCCTTCTCCTCCTCCTCACGACCATCCACGGCCAGTGGTCCCCGCCGGACCTCAAGCACGACCCTCTTCGCCCAGTGTTCCCTGCCGGACCTCGACCGCCGTCTTGCCTTCCTCGCTGTCCTTTTTGGTCGTCCTCCTTTCCTGTTCTTTTCCTTCGCGCTCTCTCTCTCTCTGTCTCTCTCTCTCTCTCTCTCTCTCTCTCTCTGTGTCTCTCTGAGGAAAGGAAAGAGGGAGAGATGCCGATTCTTGCTGCTTCGTTTCGTGTCTCGCGTCCTTTTCTTCATCCCGCCTCCCTCCCTCTCCTTCCCTCCATCTCCTTGGTCAGTCGCTGTCTTCCCCGTTTTATTTTCCTCTCCGTCCTGCCGCCCAATCCTGTGCTACGGGTGCTCCGAGCGGCCTTTTCAAGGCCAGTCTGTGCTACGGGCAGCCGGCCGCGGGGCCCACCCCAGGATCTGCCGCGAACCAGGCCGATCGCCATTGAAATTGTATTAAAAGTTAGACAAACTCGGGCGCCCGTCCAAAAGTCGGGCAATCCTGTGCTATGAGAAGACTGTTCGAGGCGATCCTGTGCTACGAGAAGGCTTTTAAAGGCAATTTAAAGGCAATTCTGTGCTGCGAGAGGGCTGTTCAAGGCAATCCTGTGCTACGGGTGCTCCGAGCGGCCTTTGCAAGGTCAGTCTGTGCTACGGGCAGCCGGCCGTGGGGGCCACCCCAGGATTTGCCGCGAACCGGGCCGATCGCCATTGAAATGGTATTACAAATTAGACAAAATCCGGCGCCCGTCCAAAATTGGGATTCGACCAGGCACTCCTGTGCTACGAGAGCTTCAGAGGCAATCCTGTGCTACATCCTCTGCTACGAGAGGGCTGTTAAAGGCAATCCTGTGCCACCACCTCTGCTAGGAGAGGGCTTTTAAAGGCAATCCTGTGCTACGAGGGTGCTTTTCAAGGCAATCCGGTGCTACGAGGGCGCTTTTAAAGGCAATCCCGTGCTACGAGAGGGCTGTTGAAGGCAATCCTGTGCTACGAGAGGACTGTTCAAGGCAATCCTGTGCTACGAGGAGGCCTTTAAAGGCAATTCTGTGCTACGAGAGGGCTGCTAAGGCAATCCTGTGCTACCTGCCCTCCCTACCCCTCGCCCCATCTCCTTCTCGAACAATTTCAGTTTGGCTTGAAACAGAGTCCACATGGCTGTCATCCCTCGAGATACCTATTTTGTTATTATATATAGTGTTTTTCCCAGGTGAGGGTTGTTAGCTTTTATGCTAGCTGACTTCTCCTTCTCCTCCTCCTCACGACCATCCACGGCCAGTGTTCCCCGCCGGACCTCAAGCACGACCATCCTCGCCCAGTGTTCCCTGCCGGACCTCAACCACGATCATCCACGGCCAGTGTTGTCTGCCGGACCGCAATCGCGACCATCCACGCCCAGTGTTCCCTGCCGGGCCTCAACTACGACGATCCACGTCCAGTGTTCCCTGCCGGACGTCGACCACGACCATCCACGCCCCAGTGTTCGCTGCCGGGCCCCCACCGCGATCATCCATGCCCAGCGTTTCTGCCGGACCCCAACGCCCCCCTCTCCAAAGCCATGCCAGATAGAATGTCAAAAGCTATGCCAGCTAGACTGTCAGACTCCCTGCGAGATGGTGAGTCAGTTGTGTATCACAGCTATGGTCCAAAGGCTCGGGATAGTTAGTGACACCGGGCAAAAGCTTCAGACAAAAGTGGAGTCAACAAGCTGTTTTGCCTTCATTTTGTTATTATACTATTTTTCCCCCGGTCAGGGTTCTTAGCTTTTATGCTAGCTGACTTCTCCTTCTCCTCGTCCTACCGGGCCTCAGCTACGACCATCCGCGTCCAGAGTTCCCTGCCGGACGTCAACCACGACCATCCACGCCCAGTGGCGGCCGGCCCATGCCCGTCTTTCCACGGGGAAACCGAACGACGGACAGACACATACATGGTTGGATGCACCCCTCTCCTAGGAGGTACGTACGTCGACGCGTGCGCTCGCGGGTTCGGTCTCCTCCGTCGTGCTGTTTGGCCTCCAGACGCGCCCGCGGTCGGGGTTGCAGCTGTTTTGGCTCTATAGCCGCGTGTGGGTGTGCTGGCGCCGGCCACTGGCGTGGCGAGGCTGCCGCAGATGCGGCGTCGTCGGCGCGATGAGGAGCAGCCATGCTGCCCGCAGCTGGCGGCGGATGCTTGGACGCTCGCGGTAGAGGACCTCCTGGGCGCGCGCACCCCGGTGCGAGGTCCTTCGCTACGCTGCTGGATTCCTCATGGTTCGTCGCTGGGTTGCCCTGCGGCGTCCTGGGACACCCCGGGAGCGGCGCTACGCACGGCTGCCGGCGGACGTGGCGCAGTTAGCGCAGGCCTCGTTCCCTGGGAGCTTCGTCTATGCGGTGGGCGGGGGCAACGCGCCCGAGGACGCCCGCATTCGTCATCTCCTGGAAGTGCTGAAAGTGAATGACGAGATGTGGGACTTTTGCACCACACGCTTTGACGCCGCCTTCGCCCAGGCCGTCAGTGTGCCTGACGCGGAAAGGAAGGCATACGTCATGGCACGGTCCTGCAGTCGCACGGCGGCGGCTTTGCGGTGCTTCTCGGAGCCCTGGGACTCGGTGCAACATGGAATCACTCTCGTCCTGGCAGAACTGCGCGCGAGCGCATCGGCCCCAACCGGCGGCACTACAACTCCTGCGTCGGCGACCGTGCCGCGCAGGAGGCGTATGTGCGTGTTGCCTTCGATGTGGCGCTGCCGCCCCTAGAGTGGACCCTGTCGGATCCGAGCGGCTGCGGGCAGGCGCTGCACGCCAGCAGCTTTGCGAGCAGCTCCTGCAGTGGCCACAGGTTGGACCTCTCACGGCCAAAAATATCTTCCAGCTTCTGCGCCGGGCGCCGCTGTGCCGCGGCTTTCATGCCGCAGCAACGCGACGAAACTTGGCGCGGGAGCGGTTTGGTTTTAGCTCCGCCGGCGCGCGCATGTGTCTGAACTTGCTCATCTGCGAAGCCGGGGGCCGTGGATTTCTTCGGGATGCCGCAGGCATGGGGCCAATGCGCCATTTCAGCCGCCTTTTGGTGCACTTTCGCGGCAGCATCTTGGCGCAAATGCGGGCCCTCGCCGCAAGCAGTAGCACCTTGGAACCGGTCGTCCTGTCCTTTGAGGACCAGGATGAGACCTTTTGGTGCTTCTTCCTTTGCGAGCTCTGGAAGGTTTTTGCCTACCTAGCCACTGGAGATGTCCGGTACGAGCCCGCGTACCAGGACGAACTTTGAGGTTTCACCCGGGGCGCGCGCGGAGCCGCAGAAGACGGACGCCCGTTCGCGTCGATCCTCTCGCGTCGACCGCTGCTCCTCCTGCTGCTGCTGCTGCTGCTGCTGCTGCCTCATCGCTGCTACCGAGGGCAAGCTCGCTGCGCTGCTGCCCCTATACTCTTTTAGTAATTTCTTTCCACGTTGATTTCAGTCCTGCTCATCGCTGCTTAAACGCCGTGGCTGTATCATTGCGGCACCGTGGTTGCGTCGCCGTGGTCGCGCTTGCGCAGCGCAGGATAGCAGCTAAATCTACCCACCACCTTCTGGCCATGCAGCCAGTATAGGTCACGACCGTCCGGCCACGGCCACGGCCACGCGGCAACATCTCCGGCCACGGTCGCGCCCATCCGGCCACGGCCACGGCCACGGCCCTCCGGCCACGGACATCTGGCGCCGGGCGCCGCTTCAGACCATCCGGCCACGGTCGCGGCCAGCTTGGCGACCCGGGAGCGGTACCTCTTCTTTACCGCACCGGTGATGAACCCATATGCCTTGCCACCCGCCCATGCGCAGCTCCCACGGTTCCAAGCCCCCGCGCCGCTGCCTCGCCCGAGGTGGCGTGCTGGCGTCCTGCGTCCACGTTAGATTGCAGCCTTTCTGGCCAGGTGAAAACAGCTGGATCTGTGCGCCTCCCTATCAGTCCGTTCACGTGCAGGTCTGGCCGCGATGGGTGTTGTCTGCCACCAAGTCTTCGGCTCAAAACTGCGCTGCCCGCTCCTTTTGTGTTTCGGCCTTCCGCTGCCATGCAACCTCTCCAGCTGTCCGACGAGATCTTGCTGCTTGCATTGCTACCGCTCTGTCCCCTTCCCTGCGCGCTACAGCTCGCAGCCGTCGCTCGCCGCACCGGCCCTGGGCAGCTGACCACGCACGATCTCCTGCGGCGCTGTGTCTACCTACGCGAACGGGTCCTCACGGCGCTCTTGCCCGTTTTGTGGGAAGGCCTCCGCTGCCCACCCTTCCGCGGCGTGCGCGTGCCGTTGCTGCAGTTTGGGGGGCATCACTCGGGCGACTTCGCGCACGCCGTCGCGGCGCGGCTTGCATCCGCGCCGGAATGTGGTCCGCACGTTGCCCGGCAACTCTGCTGCGCCGAATCCACCGAGCTCGCGCGTCGCCCCCGTACACCGCCCGGCGGCCCGATCTTCCGAGGTGATTCGGAGGTCTTCCTCCCCCAGTGGCTGGCCGCGAACACGGACAGCGTCGCCGGCGAGACCCTGGCGGCCTTTTTGCGGCGGCACGCGTGGCGCCACCTGTGGCTCAGCGGTCACTACGGGGAGACGACACTCGTGCTCGTCTTCGCGGTGGAGAACTGTGAGGGAGCTCTTGTCTTTCCCATCAGCGCGGCGGCCGGTGATTGGCCCGACGTCGCTGCGTTGTGAGTGCATGGTGGCGGCCGTCCGCGTGAAAGGAACGCTCCGCTTTGTTGTGACGTTGCGCCGCTCGAGCGTGATCGTCGGTCTTCGAAGCCAGTCGCTGCGCGCCAGGTCATGCCGGGCAGTCTCCTGGCCAGGGAAAGGCAGGGACGGGGCCGGGGCAGGGAAGCGACGGAGCGGTCACGGGGCCGGATTGATCATTTCCGGGAAAGGTACAAGGCGCGGCAGGAAGATAGAGGTAGGCTGGCTTGTGTGCCTACGGCCACTCCAATTTGGAGGGGCGCGCGAATCGTCGACGTTTCGCGCGCCCCTCACGGACGTCCTCCCAGGTGCTGCTCTGCTGCTTCCTCCACACAGGTCGGCAAGCTCCATGGGCCTGCGGCCACTCCCCTTTGGGCGCTCGAATCGTCGACGTTTCGCGCGCCCCTCACGGAGGTCCTCCCAGGTGCTGCTCTGCTGCTTCCTCCACACAGGTCGGCGAGCTCTACTGGGCCTGCGGCCACTCCACTTTCGAGGGGCGCTCGAATCGTCGACGTTTCGCGCGCCCCTCACGGAGGCTATGGCTAGCCTAGGCATAGGCCTAGGATAGGTCTATGGCTACCCTAGGCATAGGCCTAGGATAGGCCTATGTCTAGCCTAGGCATAGGCCTAGGATAGGCCTATGGATGGCCTAGGCATAGGCCTAGGATAGGCCTATGGCTAGCCCAGGCATAGGCCTAGGATAGGCCGATGGCTAGGGTAGGGCATGGGCCTAGGATGGGTGTATGGCTAGCCTAGGCATAGGCCTAGGATAGGCCTACGGCTAGCCTAGGCATAGGCCTAGGATAGGCCTATGGCTAGCCTAGGCATAGGCCTAGGATAGGCCTATGGATAGCCTAGGCATAGGCCTAGGATAGGCCTATGCCTGGGGTAGGCATGGCCCTAGGATAGGCCTAGGCCTAGGGTAGGCATGGGCCTAGGATAGGCCTATGCCTAGGCTAGGCCCCGGGAGTTCTAAGCCACTTCGAGGACAAGATGTCGAATTACTTCCACTTTGGCGAGTGGAGGTCCTATGATCTTGCCTTTGACTGGCTTCCGGAGATGTTCTTGACCTATGTGTACCTTGGATCCCCAGATGCTTCCAAGCTTGGCCAGATATACCAATGCCTCATCTCACTTGGGCAGGCATTGGATAGTTTCCTGGCATGAATTACTGCATCTCGCTATATATATATATACAGATATAGATAGTTTATGCATATATATATACACATGTCTGTGTATGTATGCTTTGGGTGCCAAAGTTTTTTGAACCAGCTTATATGCTACTATATAGATCATTGCCAGTCAGGATTTGAATTTGATCATCCACGCTGCCTCGGTGATCTGATTTTGTGTACGCGGCAAGTCATTAAGAGTGTTGGCATGCGCCTCGATAAGATGAAGCATCGAGAACAACATCAAAAGCGCCGTCGGGTTGGCAACAGTCCACGCGGGGTGTCAGAGCATGCGCCTGGTCCAGCATCCGAATGAACCAAATGCAATTTGTTCTGCATCAATTCAATGCTATGGGCTACTGCTCAGGTTCTTTCGCATAATTAAAGGCAATTGGCTTTGCGGCTCAATCGGCCTGTTGCGGCGTAGATGGTTTCAAACAGAGACAAATTCGACAGTTTACATGTGCTTACACAGCCTCAAGGGGGCTGAGAGCACGGAGGACGGACTCCAAAAACAATCAGAAAAGGTTTGTTTGTTGAAAGTGTGAAGCGTGATGGAAGACTATGTTTGCATCCAATTCTAGGGGCGCATGCTCTGGCATGTGTTGTGGTCGCTGGCAGGTTTCAGATGCGATTCTTCCGCCCATTGTGTTCAACGTCATGCAATTGGCAAACAGTCACGCCAGGATGTACGAGGCATTGAGGGATTTGAAGGTTTCTTTGATCTGGAAGCCAATGAGGTCACTGTAGGATACTGTAGGCATTCTAAGTGCACATTGTTGGCCATGATTTCTGGGCTGATTTCCTGATGTGAGATCTCATGGCACGGTTTGTATGGCTACAGTCATCCACAAGACTTGCTTTGTCCGGCTGCAGGTTCCCGATAGAGACAAAGAGCCTCCTCAAGAACCAGCTTCGCACGAGAAGGCTCAATCTACTGCAACTCAACTTAATGAGTTGGAGGCCGATGAGGCCTCTTTCAGATGCTGTAGGCATTCCAAATGCACATTGCTGGCCATCGTTTCTGGTGTGATTTCCTGATATGAGATCTAATGGCACAGTTTGTATGGCTACAGTCATCCGCAGGACTTGCTTTGTCTGCTGCAGGTTCCCGACAGAGCAAAAGAGCCTCCTCAAGAACCAGCTTCGCACGAGAAGGCTCAATCTATTGTACCTCAACTTGATGAGTTGGAAGCCGATGAGGCCGCTTTCAAATGCTGTAGGCATTCTAAGTGCACATTGCTGGCCATCGTTTCTGGGGTGATTTCCTGATATGAGATCTAATGGCACATTTTGTATGTCAATACCCCAGGTCATTTGCAAGACTTGCTTTGTCCTGCTGCAGGATCCAGGTGATGAGGCAATGGAAGATTCAGCAGAAAAGACATCTTTGTTGAAGGATTTAGCAGTGGTCAAGCGTCAGGTCAAAACAAAACATGGCAAGTACTATGGCCTTCTTGTCCAGCAGTCTTTTGCGGAACAATTCATATCAAACAACAAAACGTTGGAGATCAGGACGAGGCCAATTCGGTTTTTGGAGGCTAATGATTGTGTGCTACTGGTCGCTAGCGGCACTTCCAGTGGCAGAGTTGCCCTTTGCACACTCAAGTTTGGCGGCTGTTTGAGAATACCTTTAGAGAGGTTGCCAAGCTACCAGGGCCTTCATCGCCTTAGAGACGACCAGCTGAAGGAGTTTTGTTCCATGGCGAGTTCCAAGGGCATGGATTGTTTATGGGGGTGGCAACTTCACTGCGAAACGGTTTTCTCACAACCATTGAAAGTTCCAACCACATCTGCAGAAGTATGGCTTCTAGTTTCAGAGGATGACTTGTTGCAGGCACTGTGGGCGGAATATGTTTCGCACGAAATTAACGGGTGTTTGTTCCACAATCCACTTATGAGGTGATACAGCTTTGAAGGGGTTCGCTGCCACCGGATCATGTGTAGACATTCTAAGTGTGATCCCGTCCCGCAGTGTTTCTGCACCCTGTCAGGCAACTAGCCCACCAAACTTGCCACAACAGCTAGTCGAACCTGATCCGACGCAAGTGGAAGCCCCTGACAGTCAGATCATGGAGACGTGGCGGGAGGGCTCCATGGCGTTGCTGCTGACAAGCCAGGAATGGACACATTTGTTGGCCGGTCATGCGCAGGCAATTGTGAGAGCATACCGACCGCAACACGAGGTGTACCTTGCCGTTCTTGCGAGTCAGCTGACCTAAAGGACTTTGGTAGCCCCATGTACAGCGAGAAAGAAATCAAGTGCATGAAGGACAAGAAGTTGTGGCGTCAAATTTTCGAGATCAAGAGTGTTGTGGCATTTGATCGTCCATCACCAATGTTGAGGGTTCCTTTGCATGGGGTGCGCCGTCCTTTCTATGTGCCAGAGCAATCATTGCATGAAAGTTGGGAACCTCCTATGCGGGCCAACTTGCAAGAGACCGGCAGGTTTCTGCTGAGAATGCTGCGTCCCCACTATGGCAACACCATTTTGGATCTTGGAAGGTCCATGTGCGCGGTACGGGTTGGTACAACATGTTCCGGCTCCGACATAGGCATCACAGTGATGCAACAGACCTTGGATCTCATTTCTGAACAGAGCAAAGGCATCGAACTCATCCACGTGTTCTCAATCGAGATAGACGAAAAAAGAGGAATCTCATTTTGCAGCAACACCATCCGCTTCACGTTTTCGATGATGTATACGTCATGGAGAAAGGACAAGGCTTTTGCTACACGTGCACCTTAGTTGCAATATGTACAATATATATATATATATGATGGTGGATGTGTGAATGTGTTATATTCAACTAGGCACACACTCTGACATTGGTTTTCAGTTAACTCAATTCGTGGTCCCTGCCCTGCACTCAAGGTCGTTGTGATCACGAGATATCATTGAAGACTTGCAGCATAGACGTGTTGCTGAGCGGACCATCATGCGTGGACATGAGCAGGCTGAATAACAATCGCTCTCTGTATGTCGGGGCCTACGATGAGGAAAATCATTTTGAAGACCGTGGAGCCTCGGGATTCACATACTTGTATGGAGTAAAGAAGGCAGGGTGAGCAGGTATTTTAGAAAGATGGCCTCAGTCTATCTGCGTGTGTGAGTACATATATAGTAAACTGTCCACGCAGGTGGCGCAAAGGCTTGCTCCCAAGTTGGTGCTGTACGAGAACGTAAAATCAGCTGCAGAAAGATCCAAAAGGGAGGATGGCACATGGAGTGAACCAGCTGTACAGGCTGGTGCACTCTATCTATCTATCTATCTATCTATCTATCTATATATATCTATCTGTCTATCTATCGATCTATCTATATAATCTATATACTAAATCTACTAATCTCTCTATCTACCTATCTATCTATCTATCTATCTATCTATCTATATATTATCTATCTATCTAGTGCCTGACGCTGCTTCCAGCGGATGCGTTGCTAAAGTGCTATGGTTTGCCCTGCCAGGTAATGAAAAGAGATTTTGAAGCCATGGGGTACAATTTTGCTCGGGCCTTGGCCTTGTAATGGTGTGTAGACATATACACATACACACAGACTCTACATGTTGTTTGTTTGCCTACCTTGACCTTGATACACATTCTAAGTGCGGTTCTGCAGGTGTACAAAATCCTGGACACAGACAACTTTTTGCTTCCCCAAAGGAGGAACAGAGTTTGGGGCCTAGCTGCCGTAGCTGGAACCTCTGAAGTTGACAAAATGGAGGACAACTTTAGTCGAGCATTGGACGATATGTCCACCAGAGTGAAACTGCCTGCTGAAGAAATCTTTGAGAAAGGTTTACCACAGGTAGATCCTCCAGAAGGAAGGCAGGCTCAGCTGGTGGAACGCGCAAAGAATGTCTTTGGAAGTGATGATATCTTTGTCGACACATCGACCTCTCTCAAGAGGCTGTATGCCAAAGTGGGTGGAGCTCCACGCATTACGCCAGAGCACCCAATCTACTCCACGAAGTTGAAGAGATTTTTGACTCCAGCGGAATTTCTTTCTGCGCAAGGTCTATTCAAATCTTGCTTCAAAGACTCTGTTTGGCAGCAAATGGTGACAGTGCCCAAATTCGGACAAGATCTAGCTGGCAACTCATTCTCCAGCACAGTCTGTCAGGGAGCTGTTTTGTCATCTATGGCGGCTTGCCCGGAGCTATGGTTGAAGGCTTCTGGAAACCTTCCAGGTGAAAAAGCAAAAGATCACAAAAGAAAATTGGCACCAACTGAGGACCATCTTGAGCCACCGTTGCAGAAGGCCAGGACGGGCAATTCCCGTCAGGAGGGCGCAGATCCAAGCCAGTTCTTGAAACGGATTACAAAAAAGAGACCGGCGCCCGAATACGACCATTTTGTTCAAGACCATCCACGCAGAAAGAAAGACCCGAAGGGCCGCGCCAAGCGAAAATACAAAAGGAAGACCGACGGCGTGGACGGCAGGAAGTTTAGCAAGGGGAAGAAAGACACGCTTAGCATTTGGTCCAAGATGCAAATGCTCCTTTGTCAACTCAGAACAGGCTGTCCCACACATGTATATTGTTATTATATTGTTATTAAATATTTTTTGTACAAACTTATATAATATTTATATATATATATATATATACACTTTTCAACATTTCTCTTCATACTGCAGGCTACAATTCTATGACCAAGAGAAAGAGAAAGGGAATCGGAATGCAGCCAAAGCCACGAGCCAGAAGTTTCCCAAGGGATTCTACAGGTGCTGCCTGTACAAGTGGAAGCGGGATCGAGCAGCACAGAGCTGGGACCTCCTGATCACAGCTGCGCCGACGCTTACCAAGAAGTTCAAGGAAATCCCCAACCGCCTGAGGCAGATGATGGGTCATCCACTCAAGTTTGTCACACGATCCGATGGCAGCCAGGAAGCAACCACCACTATTCTCCCTCCGGAGCTGCAAGAGATCACGGCAGAAACAGTCGTACCTTACCTGATATCATGTAAGGCTTTGGAATGAGGCATTCTAAGTGTACAGCTGTTGTCGGAACATCATCTATGAGAAGTAAGGAAACATTAAAACTATATATATATATACAGAAAGACTGTGCACTATGAGGCTGAGCGCATAGCCCTTGGAGAAGAGTGTGACTTTCACTTCGTTGCGGATGTCTTGGAAGCTGGGATTGATCAGTGGAATTCTGCAGTGCAGCGCCTCAAGACACGCTTGTCAAAGCCAGAGACCCTTTGCCAGGAGCTCCAGAAGCAGCTGGTGGAGATGGAGGGAACAGGCAGCACTGAACCAATAAGCCAAGAAGGCTTGAACACAATGGTGGAGGACCTGTCCACATCACTTGCTCCAAAGCTGCGGACTATCTCGACGAAGAGAACCACCTCAAACTTTACGCCGCTTGGCAGATTGAACTTTCGGTGTACTCGTCCCTTCTCCCATCCCCACTTGAGCGGGGAAACACGAAAGGTAGAAACGGGCCCGGGAGCAGCCAAAAATGTATTGCGCCGAAGTTGTCGTACTCGCCACCCATGAAACACAAGTAGCATTTATGTTCAGCAGTGTTCAACCCTAAGCAGCTCCCAGGAAAGCAGCACAGAGGCTGTGCGGGAAATCAGGCCTCGGCCCAGAGGCTAATTCCAAGCCAGGTAAGCATTTACCTGCCAGCCATCCATTGCTCGCAAAGATCCGAGAGTTTGTCAGAGCAGAGCGAGATAGCCTCAAGGTTCACGAGAGGCTTGTATGCAACTTCGACCAGGTTTGGTCTGTCCAATACATGCCACAACGAGCAACCTTGCAAGCTAAAGATGGAAGACAAGATCCACTCAGGAAGGCACCGCATAGAGGAGGCATTAGATCTTCCTCTCACGGAAAACTGGCCGCCAGAAAAAACCCGTGGTGTAGATTCTGCAGCCCATGTCAGTGGGGGCGTTGCAGCTTGTGCACCGGTAGAACAGTGGCGAGAGCCTCGAACAGTGACTACGTTGAGCTGGCTGGACGGCCATGTTTCCCGAGCCTATGTAACCATGCGTGGTGATGCATTGGCTGAAACAGACAGAGCCAGAGTGAACCAGGCTCGAGGTTGTCCAAATCCCAAACCTGCGCAAATGTTTTGTCAAGGATGCGCGTTCTAAGTGTAGCCTGGACTGTTGTGCATTTTGGGGTGTGGCCAGGAGCTGGGCGAGTGGCTTCACGTTGCCCCAGCAACTTCACGAAGTCATATCTGGTCGGCAGAGACCCTTGTTGACTACCTGAAGTTCCTCGAGGGCGAGATACGTCACAGAAGGCAGGGAATTAGCTTCTGCAGGATTTGGGGATATGCATATATGGAACAGTATGTTTTCTTATACAACCTATATATATGCATTTCTTGAGCGGTCTCATCCTGAGGAGGCAGCTTCAGCTCGGCATCCAAGACAGATGTATGGTAATCTGCGACAACGCAACGCAACATGGTTCAGCAAAATTCAAACGCATGCGGGATGTTTGGTGCCAGCAGCACAACGTGGTGCCCCGGCTGACTGAAGCATATATAGATACAATAGACAACTTTCTTCTCCGTGAGCAAGATTTTCCATTCTCTTGGTTTTGCCTGTCTACTTCGTCAGGAGTTCATTTCGGGCGACAGCGAGCAAGCTGGTTGCGTGATCCCAGGCGGCTACGGAGCCGCAGGCCAACCCAACGACGGGTGGCACAGATTTTTACATCTGCTGAATTCGGCGTACTCCAGGGTGGCTGTCGGATGGAGTAGATCTTTGGAACTCCGAAAGCGCCTGGATGGCTTGAACTTGGGCGTTCAATCCACTGTCAGCACGAAGCCGTTTGGAAGCGTTTAGACATGCAGTGCACTTATGGAGTTTGTTTGATTTCCACGGAAGGGTATGCCTAAAATGACTTACTGTTTCACCACTCCTGGAAACTTATGTTTATGTAGGCATTCTAAGTGCACATGACCTGGCTTCTTCTCAGGGGGAATGGATGCAGTGCCGGCATATATATATATATGGTATATGTCTTTAACTATGTCTATATAATATTATATATAGAGAGAGAGAATGTTCAAAACTATATAAGTCATCCTTTTCATTCCTGTTCTACAAAGATGTCATGCTCTGCAAACAGGAGTTCTACACTCACTTGAAGTCCATTGCCGAGTTTGAGCTGCTTGGGCACAGTACCAGTCACGGGTGAAGCATTCTAAGTGTATCGATGATGACATACAGAACTCTCAGTATTCCGCTTCTGTTGGCACTGACTGTTGCAGCCTGTTTGTGTCTCAGGAATGGCCGCCTGGTTTGGAGCGCCTGGGTAAAACGTGGGTATTGCACATTGGAAGAGATATCCCGATGGCGGTATGGAGGCCACATGGGACAGTCATGATTTGAGTTTGATTTGTAATATATATATATACTCAGAGTATTCATTTTCGTGCAGAACTGATATCAGAATCAGAAGCGGCCAGGCAAGAACTTCATCGTGAATGCAGAATACAATCGAAAGGACCTTGCCCTCTACCATCTGACCAACCTCACTTCTTTGCCATCCATGAGATCGGAAGAGATGGATTTAGATGCATTGGAGTCTTTAAGGTTAGAGCCTTTGCCGGGCGAGCAACAGGTTCATTGGGCAATCCAAGACGGGAACAATACCGAGACCCGAGTGCTGCTCCCATCCTGGGTGGCTACTCCTATCCTGACTCGACTGGCAAAAGTCCTATCCGAAAAGATGTTTGGGAAACAAGGCGGTCAAAGCGGGCAGATGGAAGGCTGACTCCAGCTATGCAGAAGAGGTATGACACATGGAAGGAGAAAAGTCAGGAGGTCCGCATCTTCTACAACCTCAAAAAACAGAGTGTTCTCACACATATCCATGACATTGAGGAATTGAAAAGGATGCGCCGGGATGTCTTCATGGCAACAGTGAAGTGTGGTGGGACATTGGCAGATTTAGCACTCGCGGCCCCGAATGGAGACTGCCGCCGGCTAGTGGCCATCAGGGGTGAGGCAGTCAAGGAAGGGGCGCCATGCCCAGACTTCCTACGCCAAGAGCTTCCTGAGGAGCATTTGGATGAAGCAGCGATGGAGCCCGACCGATTCTCAGATGCTGAGGCCTGAGCGTCCAATATCATGGTCGCTGGAAGCAAATTATGGTCCGAAGGTGCACACTTAGAATGTTCTATTTGAATCCACCTCTATGCAACAACTTACAGTTGGTCTATTTATATATAATACATAATATATAATGTATATAATATATATATATAATTGGATATGTTGCGCATGTTGGTTCATATTTGATTGAACTTGTCATCTCTACAGGCTGCGGAGCAGGAAGAGCTGCATCAATGGCACCGAGCTGAAGATGGTGATGAGTCTGACCATGCCGATGCAATTGCCATAGAGGCAGATGATTTCCCAGAAGTCCTTGTTGAAACCGACGACGAGGCCGATATCCAAAAATTGGAGCCCAGATGCAAGCGGGTGAAGAACTTCCATCACCGCCAGGCGTACCAAAACCTGGCCAAACATGGACTGGTGGAAATTCCATCCACGCTCCCTAGAATTGGCCTCATGTGCCACAAGACAACAAATTGTTGGCAGGGTGTTATGCCGGATGTCCACTCCGGCCTGTCCTTCACGTGGGGCGGAGGGACAGGCAGAACAGAAGAAGCTGCTCTTTTGAAGTCTGTGAAAGGCATACTCACTGCATTCACCCACCGCTTTCCTCGCGAAAGGCTTTGGAATCTCGGATGTCAGATCTAGCAGTGTTGTGGTTTGACGGGACAGTTTGTTTTGATAAGGACATGGTATGTGTATTTCTTGGTTGCCATCCCCCCAAAAGGCCTTTCTCCCAGACCGCTCCCAAACAGGATTCGCCAGCTTGAGAAAGTGCGGGAAGCCGAGATGCACTTGGACGAGCTGATCAAATGAGAGCCATGTTTTTGCAATTTTCCATTGAGAGGGAAGGCATTCTAAGTGCAGGCCTGCATTGGCCCCCGGAGCTGTTGTTTTCGAGTTCCAGCCAAGATGTAGACATATGTCCTTGGTTTCTTGTTGTTTGAGGAGATCCTCAGTGTTGTGGTTATACCTTTTCTTGCACTGCCTCCCCTGTGCTAAGTTGGTGCAGGACCAGAGCTGTCCTGACTTGAGAGTGAGATGGAGTACCTCCAGCTTCTCAGGTTATGCCAATCCCTTCTGTATGGACACCTTCCCCAAACACCAAAAGCACGTGTCTCTCGGTATCTCTCTATTTGTTGCATACACATAAGTGCGCACATAATGTGTGTATATACAGTGGAACAAAGGGATATCTCCATCTGAGAATTTGATTTGTGAATGTTTGAAAGTGCGCTTGCACTGAGAGAATTCAAATCCAGTGCGTGTTATAGATGGAACATAGCTTTACATTGAGTGGAAGACAACCTTCCATTTCATGATGCCAATGGGGTGTGGAGAGTCAGAGAACTCTCGAGGAAGATCACCGGCTCCACCCCGCCAGGGAAAAAATTGTCCCGAGGCATTCTAAGCCTGAGCACCGCGTTTTCGCATTCTAAGTGGTACTCTTCTAGCATCAGTTTTGCTGATATTTTCAGGAAACCTCCGTGAGGCATTCTAAGTGGTGGGTGTATGACGTGTGTGGAAGTGAGGCATTCTAAGTTTCAGTCCGTGACTATACTAGTAGTAACAATGTTTGCTATTAGAAACAAGTGCATCGCTACTAGTCACAAGTGCCTTACTAGTAGTAACAATGTTTGCTATTAGAAACAAGTGCATCGCTACTTGCAACAAGTGCCTTACTAGTAGTAACAATGTCTTCTATTAGAAACAAGTGCATCGCTACTAGTAACAAGTGCCTTTCTAGTAGTAACAATGTTTGCTATTAGCAACAAGTGCATCGCTACTAGTAGCAAGTGCCTTACTAGTAGTAACAATGATTGCTATTAGAAACAGGTGCATCGCTACTAGTAACAAGTGCCTTACTAGTAGTAACAATGTTTGCTATTAGAAACAAGCGCATCGCTAATAGTAACAAGTGCCTTACTAGTAGTAACAATGTTTGCTATTAGAAACAAGTGCATCGCTACTAGTACCAAGTGCCTTAGTAGTAGTAACAATGTTTGCTATTAGAAACAAGTGCATCGCTACTAGTAACAAGTGCCTTTCTAGTAGTAACAATGTTTGCCATTAGCAACAAGTGCATCGCTACTAGTAACAAGTGCCTTACTAGTAGTAACAATGTTTGCTATTAGAAACAAGTGCATCGCTACTAGTAACAAGTGCCTTACTAGTAGTAACAACGTTTGCTATTAGAAACAAGTGCATCGCTACTAGTAACAGGTGCCTTACTAGTAGTAACAATGTTTGCTATTAGAAACAAGTGCATCGCTACTAGTAACAAGTGCCTTACTAGTATTCACAATGTTTGCTGATAGCAAGCAGGTGCATCGCTACTAGTAACAAGTGCCTTACTAGTAGTAACAATTTTTGCTATTAGAAACAAGTGCGTCGCTACTAGTAACAAATGCCTTACTAGTAGTAACAATGTTTGCTATTTGAAACAAGTGCATCGCTACTAGTAACAAGCGCCTTACTAGTAGTAACAATGTTTGCTTTGAGAAACAAGTGCATCGCTACTAGTAACAAGTGCCTTACTAGTAGCAACAATGTTTGCTATTAGAAATAAGTGCATCGCTACTAGTAACAAGTGCCTTACTAGTAGTAACAATGCTTGCTACTAGAAACAAGCGCATCGCTACCAGTAACAAGTGCCTTACTAGTAGCAACAATGTGCGCTATTAGAAACAAGTGCATCGCTACTAGTAACAAGTGCCTTACTAGTAGTAACAATGTTTACTATTCGAAACACGTGCATCGCTACTAGCAACAAGTGCCTTACTAGTAGTAACAATGT